TCTGGCATAATGGAAAGGATAATTTTTTTGTGTGTAATACATCTACATATATTTTATAATCTATACGTACAAAAAATTTCTTAATTTCTTAATAATTTTCTTTATAGTTAAATAATCTATTGTCCAAATTTATTGTAATTAAATTTAAAGAAAAAGCTAATAGAAGGTTTGTTTAAAATATTCCTCCCATATTTACTGCATTTTTTAAAATAAAAACATAATAGCTTAATTTCATAAATAATAGTTTTATCGTTCATTTATAGATCTAAATTTATATTAAACCGAAAGTTATAATTAAAAATATTCAAGTTAAAATTTTCAAAATAATTTCCAAAATAAGTTCTCAAAATTCTATTCCATTTATAATTCAAAAATTCTATTTTTGACTAAATCTGACAACTAGATCTCGGATCTAAAATCCAATAGTTGAGAGAAATTCATTCGAAATGGTTCGTTTACGTTTATAGAATTTAAACCTTATAAAACTACTATTCGCAATCAGTGACTTTGAACTGCTAAAGAATTATGATTGCAGTTAAAATGTTCTTTTTTATTTTTTTGAATAACAAAGAGTACGGTTTTATTAAAATTTGGAATTCACATGATATTTAGAGCAATTTTAGGGGATCAAATATCCGATGTTCAAAGTTCCATATTACATCATAACATTTACAGATTTTACTCTTATTAATTGACACTCCCTATTTTACTTTGCTTTTTATACCTTCAATAAAAGTATTTCAAATATCAAATAATATTAAGGTTTTTGCACTTAAAACCAATCCCATTTTATTACTCGTACCAACCGCATTGTGTATACAATAGGTAAGTTATGTGATGGCAACAAATTTTGCATATCGAGTTTTCGGTGAGAACGCACTCCTGTCGGTCTGTATGCACGCGTGTATCTCAAGTTCGGCTGGACCGATTTTGATGAAATTTTCTATGTAAGTTTATTTCGATTGTGGGACGGATTGATCAAATTTTGGGATATGTCAGGCTTAAGGAACTGCACGTTTTAGCGGGCCTGTTTTACATTCTGGATCATTATGAGAAAATATTCAACAGACTTACATGGAATTTCATATATAAGCCTCGTTCGACCGTCCGCGAAACCTCCTAACTTTTGGAAGAAATAAAGCGTCAGCAATTGGACGTTTACTAAGGGATAAATATACATTTTGCTTATATAAACAGAAATGATCTAAAATTTGATATTTAAATTCTTCGTATTACTACAAATAACATATACATTTTTTGGATAGATCAGGACTCGGAAACTGATCGGCGGGACGATTTTACATTTTTCACCATATCTACGGAACGTATTGATGGAATTTTTGGAAATTTGATATTTGAGTTCGGGTTTTTACCGAAACTAGGAAACATTTCAGGGAATTCGAGTATAGCACAAAGTCAAATTCTACTAAGAGCCAAATTTACATTTTTCCAGGTATTTTAACTATAAGCTTACTAATGCCCTACAAGGTGGAAATAAGTATTTAACAGGAATTTTTATAATATTCTCTTATACATAAAACAAATAATACATAAAACACTTTCTCTTAACTAGACAACACGCATTGCGGTGTGTTATGTGCTGACCACATCAGATTTTTTTTTAATTATTCACCCGTAATTAACCTATAATATGTATCTTACCAATAATTTATATTTATATATGATATATATATATATATATATATGTGTTATAAATTACTAATATATATACACTGTGTGTAGTTATTCAGAATTGGTGAAGTTTATTATATTGTGTGTAACATTTCTTATTAAAAGTAAATTACTATTTCTGATCGCGTTTTCATTTCCTTTTAAGATTGCTAAGAGCCATCCATTTCCTTTCATATAAATTGGGGATCTAAATATTTTTTTTTTCATTCTTTTAATTTTTATTTTTTCGAAACTAATTTAAATTTTTTTGCTTTATTGATACATAAAATAAATGAAAATATATATAAGGATAAAAAGACGTGACAATATCCTATTCCTTATATTTTTAATAAAAGACAATAACAAGAAAAATAAGAATAATTATTAAAATCGAAGGCGATGTAAAAAAAAAATAAATAAATATTTTGAATAAAAATCGACGAATTCTAGTTATCTATTATTTTAAGTTAAAAATTTTCATTGTGTCTCGTTATTAGTCAAAAGAAGAGAAAATAATTTGTGGCAGACCACCTTGTAATAAAATTTTATATATATATATATATATATAAACACATAATATCAACCACAGAAACTCATTCCATATAATAAGTACTTAATTGAAGATTTTCATTTGGTTTTATTGTATCGATTTAGTGCTGGACAAGGAGAGAAAATTTAACAAGGTTCAAAAGAAAAGTAAATCGTAATTATTACCTACAACTATAAGTACAAATTTTTAATAATTATAATATATTTTATTATGCGAAGTTTATTCAATATTGAAATACTGTAAAAAAATACTCCTGTGATTGTAAAATGAGAAAATTATTCATAGATAATTTGGTAAATTAAAAATTTTGCTAGCTCACCAGAAGAAATTTTTGAAAAATTTTGCTATTAGTTATAACAAAAAAAAACGTGGTATAAAAAACAACAAAACCAAAAAAAAGTTGTTTATTACTTTTTCCTCATTTCGTGCGTTCGTCATTTCGTCTGCACCTGCTTTCCAAACTTCTACACTTAAAATATATAAACAAAAGTATTTTCACAATTTTTCTTAAAAAAAAGTGTTTTCACTAGAAAATTTGCTAAGTACTTTAAAAATTACTGGTTTGATCCGAATTTATTAAAATTTAATTTTATAATTTTAGAAATAACCATCGATTTGCGTTGAAAGATTTTTTCCCAATTTTTGAGATTTTGTTACACAACGTACCTTTTTAGAAAAATTTAGCAATTGCTTCTTTGAGTTATAGTTCTTGTAAAAGTTAAAAATATTTTTGTTTGATTATCAATTTCTTTTTGGTGTTCTAAACTGTCCAGTATTTAATTTTGTTGTTTATAATTTGAGTTTCCTTTTAAAATAAAAGTATTATGTATATTTTTTACATTTAGCCAAAATAAGGTTCATAATTTTTCTTTTGTATATTTTCGAGAAATTTAGAGAACAGTCTTTTATTGTCTTGCATATGTCCTTTGTCTTGCCTAAATACCTTCTACCTCATATTACTTTTTCTATTTTTATAAATTCCCAATTTTGCTTATTTTTAATTTTGTAGCACTTTTTTTTTATTTACACCTTTTGTATGTTTTACAAATTGCCTTTTTTTTTATCAATAAACTTTGATGCCTCTGGACATGTCATCCTGTTTTTATAAAGTGAAGGCATTCTTGCTATTAGAAAAACTTTTTAGTACTTATTTTTTTTTTGTATTTGGAATCAAAATTAAAAGTTTTTGTAAAAGACAAAGCGGTAAAAATAAATGAAAACCCAAAGAAATTCGACTCTATTCTATTTACACAAAAATGTTTATAAAATTTCAAGAAAGTTTTGAATTCATTTAATTTTTGTGAAACAATACGTAAGAATTACTAATGAGTTGTGGTAAAAGAGCAGAAAAAAACCAAAATCAAGAAAACGGGAAACAAAAATAATAAATAGAATGAACTGAATTTATGCGAATGGTGAATATTATAAATTAAGTTAAAGTAATTTTATTTACAATACCAAAGTAATACGGATAATCACGAAAGTTTCATCCCATTTATTGCTTCAGCCCTATGACCATCTCAAAGGACCGACGAAGTATACCTCTACAAGTTACCTATCAAATTCAAAGTTGTAAATGCAAATTTCAAATTATGTATTTTACCTAAAAAATGTAAATAGGTACCTGCTTACATATTATGTATTTTATCTAGAATTTGGTTTTTAATACCAAATATACTTATATATTATCTTGAATTCGGTAGGTAATAAAACATTGAAGCAACATATGCTCATATGTACATATTTAACCAAAGAAATTAAAAAAATGTTTTGAAAAATTTAAATGAAATTCCAAATACAGACACAACTTGATACAAATAACCCATTATTTACAATTACCAGCTGTTCTTTAAATTTATCTTTAAAAATATTTCAATTTAACAAAGAAAATATTTTTTATGAATTCATAAAACATGAAGTTTCAATGTAATGTATGTATGTATATGCATTAAGTATACTAACTAAAATTTGATAAAGCTTGTAAACGGAAATATCACATTTTAAAAAAAAAGTCCTAAACATTTATATTACTCGTATCTTAAATAAAAATTAAGGCAATAGTATTGAAGAAAATCTTTGTTCTCATTTTTGTATAGTCTATGTATAGAGTAGATAGGTATACATTAGATACATAATGCAAGATATGAATTTTTATTTTGAAATTAGTTTCTTGTGTATGAAATCTACGATTGAAATAAGTATTTAGATTTAGTACAAATAGAAATTCATAATTGTCTTCTAGGTTTCCATTTTCATTTTAAAAATTTTGTAATAATAATCCCAATGAGAAAATTCGCAATTTGTAACAAAATTATGTTCGTGCTTTTATAAAGACGCGTTTTTGTAAAATTGGCTTAAGTGATTTAAAGAATTAGTTATAATAATACTTAAATTGTGATTATCTTTAAATTATCCAGGAAGTTAAACCAAGTTTAAATATTCTAAAGTCATGTGTAGTTCGTTTGACGGGAACACTAGCCGCTACAATAGTGTAACATACAATCAAAGTAGGTCATTTAAAATTAATGCCGCGCATAAACCGAAATTAAATTGATTGTTCTACTCACAAGCAGTCTTATTTAAATGAAATGCCAAAATCTCGATACTTATCTACTACATATGCATATTAGGGACTGAATGATGAACTGTTTTTTTATCTTGAAATCTAAATATTATTGAATGTGATTTTGTATATGTATGTACATATGCAATAAAGTATTGTATAATAGTGTGAAAAATACAAAAAAAAAGAAAACAATTAGAAAAGAATGGAACTTACGTGGATTTAGTATTTGCACCATCCTTGGTTTTGAATCGGTCCTTTGATTTTGATCTACTTCTTGGTTTACTCATATTTAAAATTTTAATGATTGTGTTGAAAATTTTTAAAACTTTGCATTCAGTTTTTTGATTTTTTAAGTTATAAGGATAAATGCACACATATTAAGTAGGACACTTTTGTTTAAATAAAATTTGTCATTTTTTAACCAATATTATACAAGCCTACTGATATACATATTAATTTAAATATCAACTTCATTACAAAACAATATGAAGAAATTGAAAATAATGTTTCGGAAAGTTTATAAAAAAAAACACCGAAATTACACTTTTTTCATTTTAAGAACCTCTTTTAAGCGCAAAAATCCCTGCTCCATTAACAAATTTGAATATCACATTTTAAAAAAAAATTTACATATCTATAAAATTTAATATCAATAATTCTTAAAATTAAATTTATTTTTTCAAAAAATTTCACCAATTTCTCTGAAATTCACTAACTCAAAATTTTGTAAAAATATATTTTGTAAACAACTGTAAATGTCAGCGGTAGCATATGATGTGACGTTTGATGACAGCTTAAAAGTCATGCGCATTAAATATTGATGTGTTCTCACTAAATTTCCCTGCTAGTACTTTTAGGAGAACCTAAAAATATTTATCTCCAAAAAAGGAAATTTGTCATTTGAAAATAATTTTGAATGTGTATATATATTTTCAAAAAAAAAGCTATTCTGTCTTATTCTTGTTATTCTGAGTAAAAAAAACACCAATTTTTACTTTATTTTCGTGAAATGAGAAATACATTTAATACATAAAAAAAAATACATAATTAAACTCATGCGTTTAACCGACTTTAAGATTTGTTGATTTTCAATTTCATCGCTGTAAATTTATGATTGCTTCAAAATTACATCAACGATTTACACCAGATTTATTTTTGTTTGAAAAATAAACGACATTTGATGTGAATGAAAGTTGTCAGTTTACCCATCATAATGTAAGTAAACTATGTATTTCATTAAAAATTTTACCCTCGACGCTCAATGAGAACGTCACCGACAACGAATACATATTACAAAAAAAAAATAATAATGGCAGCAAAGCAAATCACTGTTCTCTAATCTAATATATTCTTTGCTTATTTTATCGTTCAGCGTTGTTTCTTCGACCTCAGCTGATGACGTTGTAGTTGTCGTTCTAATTGAGCGTCGAGGGCATGATGTAGCTGTCGTTCAAATTGAGCGTCGAGGATTAAGCGCATTTATTTAACATTTTCATTTTATTTTGTTCCATAGGAGCTGCCATTGTGGATAATTTAAATATTGGTTTGAAAGTTAAACAAGTTTCTTTTAATATGTATATTGTAATAACAATTTATTTTTTTTTATAAATAAATTTTCTAATCAATTTTAGATTCAGAATTTTTTTATTTTTATTTAAAAACTAGTTAAAAAGTTGAAAAATTAATTTTTTCTGTTTTGACGCTTTGTTAACAAACAATGATGTTTAGCAACTGAAAACTTTTGCTTTGCTATTTGATATTAAGAGCTCCTTGATACTTCCGAAATCGAGCAAGATCTGGATCTGAAGATGCTGTTTTATGATTTAAAAACGAACACGAATTTTTTCTTTTTTTTAGGAGAAAAGAACGTCCCAAGTAAAATTTAACATAATCAGTTTTTTATATTTAATGAATATACTTCCATACTTATTATGTACATATGTGTATGTATGTAAAGAGAACAACGGAAGGAAACTTAACGAAAGGACAATTTTAAGAAGAACAACGGTATATGTTCTAATATAAAAGCTATTAGTAGCGCTAAAAAATTAAAATCAATTTTTTATTATAAAACTTCATAGAAATTCATAAAAAAAAACGATTTGGACTCTATTTTGGTACCAGCATGCATTTTTTTGAGATTGTAATTTGTTGGAGTTTGGAGATACATACGTATACATATATATATATATGTATACAAACTGATTGGAGATAAAATATTACATGTAAGTATATGCATACATATTAATTTATTTTAAGAAAAATCGTCCAAAGTTTTTGAAATAGATAAACTTAAAGCAAAACTGTTAGGTATATCACACAGGCAAAAAGGATTAGCTTTTAATATTTTTAGAATGCTTTCATCACTTTTTATATTTAGAATACATAAATATGTAGCTACCTACTTTATCATGAGTCAAAAAAGTCAGTAAGTCAGTCATAGACGACCAAAATAAAAAAAAAATCAGAAAATTTGAACACAATGTTTATCCTTTACCAATTAAAGATCCTTAAAAAGTCTGCTATACTTAACAGATTTTTGTGCTAATTATAAGAAAATCGCTTATAGTGTAAAAGATTTTAGACAATATTTGAAAATATTACGAGTATATAGTATATGCTGAGCTTTCATAGCTTGGTTGAGTGTAGTTCTAATTCTTAATTTTTTGATTTTGTTTTCCAATATACATACAACATACGTAAATATGCAGGGAAAAAACCAATAACTATCAATTAAACATATTACATATGTACAAATATGTATGGAAAAAACATTATGTAAATAAATATTATCTTCCTTTACTAACATTCCATTATTAACATTGAGGCTATTTATTTGGCGACTTTTTTTTTTATTTTGCCCAAGAGGAATATTCTGTTAATATTTCTATTAAAAATTGACGTACATATAAATTATTTTTACATATATACCATATTTTTATTAAAAATATTTGATTATCAAAATATTTCATGTAAATGTGCATACGTATATGTGCATGTATGTAGATACATATTAATTAAAATATCAGCCAATTTGTAAATAAAAAAATTGAAATATGTTTGTTGATTGGTAAAATTAATGTTGAGATGGGGCAAAAAACTTCTGAACATAAAGAGAAAAGTAGTTTGACCGTGTCAAGTTTGTGATACTCACACTGACACTTTTTAAGAACTATGTAACTGTTGGAAAAATTACTCCGTACTAACACTTTTTTTTAAAATGATTAAACGGTTAGAATCATAGTTTCACCTGGTCATTTGTAGTTTCAGCATTGTAATTTGTATGGGTTTTGGGATATGACAATGTTATTTTTGAATTTTTAGGATAACTCTAATAAGAACTTGCACACAAGTAAATTTTAAAGGTTTCGAGATATCAAATTATTTTTAGAGTTGGCAGCTATTTTAACCTCTACTTCAATCGAACTTATATTACATATGTAAGTTTATAGGGGTAAATTTACAACATACTTTGAATATTCATTTATACGGGTATAAAAATAAAAAAACGTAAAAATCTTTGGCAATTAAAAGGGCTGTTATTCCAACTTTTTGTTAATATTTAAAAAAAAAAAATCAAAATATTCAAAAACTAAATAAAAAATGGTGCTATTCATCAATTACTGTCATTGAATAGAAACAAAAAAAAAATTTATTAATTTTAAATTGAAAAATAAAAAATCTGAATTATTACCGAAAGGCTTTATGAAAGTGTTTTTATTGCCCCTTCCAGGTGAGAAATATTAATTATATATTTTTTTTTTCGTCAATTAGTAAACTGTTTTCAAAGATCAACCTTCTTACGGTATGACTGAGACAAATAATGTTTAAAATATTGTGTTAAAAGATTAATAAGCACATTTTTTTTAAAGAAATTTTGCTTTACATTTTCCCGAATTCAAAACATTAATAACTGTATAACCAGATGTTGCTATTTTGAAGTTATAATACATTAACCCTTTGTTATCCAACAGTATGGAACGTTTGAAGATTAGTGAAAAGCATAAAAACTTTGGAAATAAGTAGAAGCAACCTAAATTTTTTCAAATTAAAATTATAATAAACACAATGGTACATAGTTAATGGATCCAATTATTCAATTTTATCATACAATTAAGTAAAATTTGCTCTAAAACAAATCAATAATTTTAGAGGAATTTAAATTTTATTGAAATTCAATGGTTAATATTTTTAATTTTTTTTATAATGGCGAATTTTTTTAATAATGGTGTTTTGTTCTAACTACATATATAAAAAATTTTTGTGTACATGGGCCTGTTAGTATATTATTTGTAACAAAAATCTCATTCTTACAACAAACGTGCGTTCATGGATGAATTATATTTTTAAAAAAGACCCAAGTCAAAGATGAATTATTTGGCAAATTTTTTTTTACAAACACGTTTCTCACATGTTACGTTCATTGAAACGGTTACCTTGTGGCTTTACCTATTTCGTTTGCATTTATCATTTTAATTCAACCAATTTTAACATTCATTCATTGTTTTATACTTCCATTATATGCTCTCCAATTTTTTATTAGTATATATAAGTGTTCACTTAACGAAGAACTGAAATTTAAAAGGTGACACCTTTACATCTTAAATCATTTTCCTTTTCCTTAATATACAAAATTTATAGAAGATGTATACTTACGTATAGTATTTACAGTCCTGCATATAAATTTACACGTCCATTACAATTTAACATACACATTAGAATTTACGATATATAGGGATTTTTGAAACTTGATAAATTTTTAAATTGTGAAAGGATTTGAATTTTTTTTTTATAATGATATGAAGTATTGCATCGATGTGAACAAGAGCAAAGCTATAGCATTGTGAATTAGAGTCTGTTATAGAAAGTCGGAATATTACATCAACGATTTTCAGCCAACTATTCCAATTTATCTTAGGAAAACGGTGAAGCAAAATTATAGGTTATACAGATGTATATGAAATTAAAATTGTTGCTGAATTTTAATTTTGAAGGACCTATTTACACAAAAAATACAGGTGATATTTTATTGTTTGATTTTTCGTCTTGACGTCAATAAATCATTGCGGTCATCTAAACACAGTTAAAAAATTTTATAAACTTTAGGGAATCGTAATCACCAACAATTATAAAGTTATATTGAATATTAAATTAAAAACTAAACACTTTAAAAATTATCTTTTATGTATGAAATAGCAGATACATAATATTTTTTCAAATTTTGTATAAATACAAAATTGAGTTCGAGAATCCACTTATAATTTGATATTCTCTTTAAATTTCTTTGATAAAACTTCATATGCTTAATTTTATTTCTTCAGTTAATTTAATGTTGTTCCATTGAATTAAAAAATCTAATAGAAATTATGGTTTTCGTTAGTTTTTTAAATACCTTGTAATTTTTATATTGAAAATTTTATTGTGGTTTTGGTTTTTGTTGTTCAAATGTTAAAAAAATATTCACCTCGTCTTATATCTATCGCAGTTGAAGAAAAGTCTGATAGAAGCTTGAAAAAGTAATAAAAAGTAAAAAGACAAAAAAGACATAAATAAATACGAAAATATAAATAAAGTCTTTATTTCTTTTAAAAACTTTTTTAAACAATAAAAAATAAAAATAAGCCAAAATTTTATGCGTATACATTTGTCTATATATACATTATTACATACTTATTATATTTTCTATACAAAATGTATTTAAGAAAAT